AAATGATTGTCCATAAATGCAATTGTTTGTCATTTAGTGTTATTGAAGTTGAATTTCGCGCACAAGAAAATACATTCCGCGCATATGAATGTACGAACGCGCTATTGATTGTCCATTGATGCCTGTGAATGTACACGCATATTCAAATATCGTTATTGAAAGATGATCCGCGCTAATGATGTTACTTGTGGTGTTGATGAAAGTACATTACACGTTATTGATACRACTATTGGCACAAATGAATGTATATTTTCTGTTAATGAAYAGCAAAAGGTGTAAACTAAGTTTAATTTCCGGAATATTTGCATTGCGCGCAGACGACRAACAAATCAATCAAGATGTAGACTAAGAATTGTAGCCATATCAGGGAAAACAAAACACGTGTTGAAACGTAATCGAGTCATATTGCCTTACCTCACTATAAGCTCAGAAACTAATTAAGTTAATTTCATTTTCAGAAGCCCAAAGCAGCATTACCAGTACAGTTGCATCATCCAATATGACCACTACGGCAGTAGCTACGTCTACTAACACGCCCGTGGGCGGAGGGTCARCGTCATCAGTGTCATCAGTGGCACCAGTGTCAACAACGACACAAATCGTAGCAACGACCACACAAAYCGTAGCAACGACCACACAAATCGTAGCAACGACCACACAAATCRTAGCAACGACCACACAAACCGTAGCAACGACAACCACCACAGTTGTTCCCACCTCATCTACCTCAAGTCCAWCCGSTTTTTGTAAGTACATGGAAAGCATTAATAGTCATTTCCCCTATAAAATGCGCGCCAAGCAAGAAAAATTACTTAACAGATGTGGCATTTATCTCTTAGAGTTGGGGAGTTTTGGCGTGCGAAAGTTCCCTCCTAGTCTACAGGAATAGATTTTTTAAGCTGTGACGTATTTCCGGGTCCAACAGCTGTCAGAGTTTTGAAGCAAGCGCGCGAGTTTTGGCGCGAAAGTTCCCGCCAAAATCTACGGATATAATAAGACTATAAATCTGTAAATCTTTTTCGTATCCAATTGCCTACAAAAACTGCTAAATGCGGAAAATGTTGTCAATGGATTAACCTGCATTTGAAACAATTAGAACTTTGGACAACAAATTCTTTCGAGAAGGAAATGCAGGAAACGTTTTTAAAAAGGCAAGACTTTTTGTTTCGTAGCCGGACGTCTATTTTTCCATACGATTGATATCATACTTAAAAGTTCATCGATTTAGTTACAAAGCATGGGGCTTTGSTGTTATTACGACAGTATCATATTCTTGGGTGCGACCACATGATTCAAAATCCCTTCAGATATGAATAACAACGAAACAGACGCCATGCTGATTGCCGATAAAAGAAATGAGGAATGCTTTGTTATCGTCCACAAACCCGGCGGCTATGACGTAACATGCACCCCAAGAATAGAGTTCCTCATAAAATTTGACTTTTTTGTCAAAAAAGATAAAAAAGTGAACTTAGATTTTATGAGTGAGGCGCGCATCTTCCTTCTAGCTCCAATGTTCTTGTAACTCAGTTGCATCTTCTAGGTTTGTAGACTCCCCTGTCCCCAGTACTCACAGGTCGGATCTTGTTGTTAATCGGCATGGTTGGGATATCACGGTTCTCTTAAACTCTTCCAGATACGTATTTGATAGCAGGCTTTAAAATAAGGGATAATGAATGCCCAAAAGCAAAAGACGCTTCACTTAAGTCAAAGGTTAGTAGAATCGACAACAACTACATCTCTATGCTCTATTATGCACTAGTCAATTGAAACCCCCGCCCCCCGACCCCCGCGGCTAGCGGGGCACTGAACGGGGACGTGACGCGTTTTTGATGTGCCTTTAAGAGCATGATTGCACCGGGGGTTCGGGGATTTAACGAATGGTTTTCTCAGCGGGGAATCGAGCGGGGATTTTAACGCTCGTTTGAATATGTTAGGGCCTGGAAACAAGAGGTCGGCCATCTTGAAAAATAAAATAAATAAAAATTAAAATTAAATTAAATTAAAATAAAAGGCAGGCCGTAGCCTAGTACAAAGCGGTATGTTCTACACAAAACACATGCTCAAACAAACTTATAGCAGTTTCTACCTATACACTTTTACACTGAACTCCACTGATAAGAACCTTTCTGAAAATTGTAGCCTTAATAGGTTCTTATGTGGAGGGGTCTTAAAGTGAGAATTTTAGCCTAACAGGTTCTTAAAACCCAGGTTCTTATACACGGGTTTTGTTCAGTCGTTTCGGTCAGTTCGAATGTAGAATCAGATCATGAATAATCTATTAAAACTGCTGCTTCGCAATATTTACAAGCATTGTTCATTTTCAATTTAATACCATTAAGTTCTCAGCTGACTAGACGTAAACCTAAACGTTTTCGCACGATTTGAGGTTCAGAGCCCATGAAAATATTGAGCATTGAATATCTAGTGCATTGAACACACAACAATTGGCTCTGTGTAGCACAAGAATTTGGAGTTGGCATGAAATGTATTTCTTGTTGACTACTAAACCAAAATAACGGGGCCACAATAGCGGGGGTTTTAACAGTGAATGTGCCCCCGACTACAGGGGAAAATGTATGATTTTAACACCACTCAAATGTTAAATTCCCCGGTATTTCGCGGGGGTCGGGGGGTGGGGGTTTCAATTGACTAGTGCATTAACCTTTTTATGTTCAGTAAATTTTGGGATAAAAGATTGAATCATTCTTGTATATGCTGGTATTCGCGAGCGTTCACTGTTTTCCCGCCAATAGAGGCTTTGCAACATCGTGTGCCGGCACCCTTAATACAGCTTGAACTGCCTGTGGTTAGATGGCAGAACAATATAATACTCTGCTCTCGGGGATTGAATTCTTTTTCATGTAAAACGATCGTATTATTCTTGTCATTTAATATTGCTGTCGGCACGTGATAGTGCAAAGCCTCTATTGCTTGAACATTTGTAGTCCTTTTCACTAGTTTACAAACATGAACTATACGTAGTCACGTGTAGATTATCACATGTATAGAGCTGAATATCATTTCTACTCACGCCATTTCTCTCTCTGATATCGACCCTAATCGTGTAATAATTAAAGATCTGTATCCAACAAGAAGCTAGTAACGCTAACCGCTGATATTAGAGTGGTTTCCGTGAAACAAAGTGTACTAATTAGAGCGTAATAGTCGGAAAAACACAATAGAAAACAAAAGAATTAGAGTGTAATTGTAGTGTAATAAGCTACATGTGAACGCGTAGTCAAGCATTGTTTTGTTTTCAAAGTCATACAAGAGAAGCACAGGAACCATTTTGGGCTACCTGTGGTGAATACAATCATAACCAATGACCACCAACACCACTAAATATATTTACCGCCTTTCATCTTTATCTAGTTTGAAATCTTCTACGTCGATCCAATGTTTGACTTGAAGAATATTACTTTCAACGTGATAAGAGACGAATGCAAATTCAACTTTACCTTCACATTTGGTCCCAACATCACGATGTATAACATCAGTGAAGTGTTTAAAGATGAACTCAAACGTATCGATAATACCGTTGATACAATGGTGTTGACTAATATAATAACATATATTAATGGTGAGTATAAGCTGTTGACTTAGTTAATGATTTGAAACAATTTACACCAAAGAATGGCATTTAAAAAAACCTTGTAGGTTCGGGTGTGCGGGAGGCCTTATAGTTTGAATATCTGCTTGTGAAGATTTGCAGAGTAGGGGAGGAAAAGAAAGGACAGCTAAAATAATCGTTAAACTCTCACTTAATGATATCTACAGTTGCTGGTGTTAAGCTCGGAGACCTCAAGGTCCCAGCCGGGGCCTGTAAGAAGATATGCTGTGATGGGGGACCTGGCGGACCAATCACTCTGAACAGAACTTGTGAGCCTCCCGGATCCCCCATATGTAGAATTTACAAACTCGAGAGAGTGGAGCCAAAATGCATGGCTATTTGCTCCCAAGAGTGTTCAGGTGAGCCAAATATAGTGAGGTTCCAATGCAGATCACGTGTCATTCTACTTGTTTGAGTTGGTACTCCAAGGTACTCCAAGGAATGACACGTGGTCTGTAATGGGGAGGTGATCTCAAGGTAAATGCTTTAAATTTCAAAAGTCCCAAGGAAAAAAAGACCAAATCCACTTGAGCGCAATGTTTCGCCCATTTTAGACCACGTGTCACTTTCTTGAGAATAAAAATCTTTATTTGAGTTGTATTCATATTCGTCAGTGTGACAGTCTTCTCGTGTGCAACCGTTAAACAAGGAAATGATACTCTAGCGAAAAACACCTGGTCTGATATGGGAAAACAGAGAATTACGTCTATTCTTTGTCTTTTTGAGTTATAACTTTACAAGCGGTTACTCTTAAGGAGTAATAATACTCAAGGGAATGACACATGAAACACCTGAATCAACTGCGTCTGGAGTTGTCTGGGTCGCAGAATCATGAAAAGCGTTTTATGGCGAAGTGCGCGCAAGACTGTAATGTAATGCGCATCAACTTAAAGAACCTTCAAATTTTCATCGATAGCTTAGTACAACCTGTGATCAAAGTGAGTTTTGCGGAAGGAGGAAAACCAGAGAAAAGCCCTCGAATCAAGGCCTAGGGAAAGATTTACTTTTATGTCAGTCATTATATATTCAGTGGTGTTTTTTTTTTTTTTTTTTTTTTTTTTTTCCAGGGGTGACTTTGCGCAAGATCTCTCTTCTTGTTCTGCTGCTTGGCGTATTTATGAATTGGTAAGTCTTCTTTACTTTTCTTCATGACAATCCTACTAACAGCACGTGCACGTGCACAGCAAGGTAACACTGACACTAAAATGGCTTGCGACGTATGTATTTTATTTGCTCGAAGTTATAGTTCGTGTTGAGAATCGTGACAATCCTACTAACAGTACGTGCACGGCAAGGTAACACTGACACTAAAATGGCTTGCGACGTATGTATTTTATTTGCCCTAAATCATAGTTCGTGTTCAGAATCGTGACAATCCTACAAACTGCACGTGCACGGCACGGCAATGGCTTGCAACGTATGTATTTTTTTAGTTGAAACATAAAAATTGAATCCAATGATGATATCTTTCGTCCTTCCTTTCAACACCACGAATGGCCAATGTACTTCGATGGCTGAAGACCGTCGAACTATCTCACCAGGGGGGAGGGGTGGTCAAAGAGTTCCCACATTTGTATTCATAACCATTACATTCTCAACCATTTTCTTTCCCATTTGACTTGGCGTTGCAGGTTTCTGAAGTAAAACACCAGTAGCAAATAGAGGCGCAAAAAGCCTGAAGAGGGAACCGTTGAATAGTACATAAGAAAGCTTTTTCGCTATTTATCATGTATAACTTATAAGAATACCGATCGACGCTGAAGTTCGTAAAAGCTAGGAGTCGTTTAAACCTATTTCAACAAACGTTGTCGGCCGGAGATCAAAAATGGGCGATCTGCGACTATTGATAAAATACGACAAGTTACATTTCTAGTCATGCTTCATTTTGCAGTCTAAAAGGAAACTGGGTTGTTCGGCTGTGAACAGTGTGCTATTTGGTCTCTGATTTCCGACCGACGTTTTTTGAAATAGGTGTATGCAATCCTAATTTAAGCAATTTATTTATACTCGGTTCTTATATCCACTTTTTTTCTTTTTGTTTTTTGTTTTTGCTTTTTGTAGATTTAATTGTAAGCTATTTATTTGTGTGCAAATAAAATCAATTTGAGTTTGCTACAATTCTTCCCTTTTCTACATTTTTATCTCTTGAATCATATCTTCAGTCCCCCTTCCTTAATACGAGTAGATTTTCCCRCCATTYCAGACCMCGTGTTCAACCACGACGCGCGTAAAAAGTCATTAAAGTTTGTCACCTTTTTCGCCCTTCTGGTCTTCAAACTGGAATAGACCCTTCTCAAAACTGTCTTGAATTTCTGGAGAAAGTCAGCGATATAGAACAAAAATTTCAATCATGCATATTATCGGCAAAAAAATTTCCCTCGCGAATTAATATTGTAATATTTCCGCTTCTTTTACGACCAAAACTTTTAACTGAAATCTTATCATTTCAAGAGAGACATTTAAAAGGTTTTCTTTAAAATCTTAAAACGATTTGGAAAATTAAGTACATTATAGTTTTCTTTCTTCTCTAAAAGGATGTATACGATTATGTCATAATTCCTTCCTTCCTTTTCGGGTTAGTGTCTCTGCTAGAGCTTTTTACTGAATTCAAATTTAAGTAACCCTTCGTTTTGAGATTATCTTCTGTCGGCTTTGTAATCCTTTATTTTCTTTTCGGATTTAGTTTTTTGTGTGTGTGTGTGCTTTTTTTTTGCTGTGCAAATTACCCATATCTTGATGACAACTTTAAAGAATCCTAGTCAGCTACAATACACTGCGCAATGTTATTGTTTACATCGTTCGCCTACATCGTTCTTGAATCTCTTCCATACGTGCCAATGAAGCAGTTTTTTTGAAAATTCACTATACCAATGTTCTCAAATTCCCCAAGTTTCCTTCCTTTTATTCCACAGCAAGTAGGTTGAGTTTTTCATAGTGATTCTCTTAGTGAAATTATAATTTTTCGGTCGTCCAATACCCTGGGTTACAGAGGGATTTTTCTCGCGGATTTACCGACTAAGARCGGCGAGGCCGCGAGAGGCTTGCGCAGCTCTCAGTCAGTAAATCCGCGGAAAAAATCCCTCTGGAACCCAGGGTAGTCGTCCAACTGTTAGACATAACTTTTGAAATCTTTAAGTGGAAAGCTTTAAGTGACTATGTATCATTATAATACGATGGTTATAACACATCTAGCAGGAATAACAAGACCGATGGAACTGGATTCCCAAACTTCACCTAGAAAACCGCCATTTTTCTGGCAGAGAAAATGGCGCTTTGCTTAGCATTTCATTGTTTCCGGCGCGCAATGCACTGTAGTTGATTAGTATTCTTCAAGTCTTGTTTCAAACATGTTTCAAACAGTGCTGCTCCCATCGTCAGTAATTTTATGAAAGTGACAGTAATATGTGTAACGAATAAACAGTCAATATCATTTACGTTGCTCACAAAAAAAGAACACATACAYCAAAAGAAATGTTTGCCGCCTTGGCATCCCATAATTCA